CCCACACTATTGGACAGGATTTAAAAGTACATCAAAGTTTTTATTTCCTTTCTTAACTCAGCTACAAGCCCACATGGCTCATTCCAACTCTGTGCAATGCTGAAAGGACTACAGAGCACTCAATATCTGTGCATGTTTATGCTGTGTAACTGCAGACACTGCTCATTTTCCTCAGCGAGTCTGCACCATTATTGGAATCATCCTGAGGTCTAGCAAACCATTTCCCCAATCTTTCCATGTATAAGAATCTGACCTTTCTAAACTGACACTCTTTTACAGCTATAATAATCATCTTAATGTCTATGAAGATAACATCTATCTCAGATACCATTTCTTCCTAACTCAAATTAACTTGCCTATAAATAACTATAAGACTGATTAGTAATGTAAACACCTATTCAAAGTATTTTACTTATTTATTCTTTTATTTTAGGGAATTTTAACCTCAAATACACTTTTGAATTAGTAACATCCAATTTTATAGAGTGATAATAATATTTTTGAATTCTTCTGTAAGCACAGAGCAAGCTCCAAAAACCCAAACCGAGATTAATACATAGAGAGAACACTTAGAACACCCCATCCTTGATTGGGCAGAGGTACAAAATTCCCAGAGCACAAACCCTTTAAAAGCAGCACTACACATTATTGCGCTGCTGAGAAAATCCAGGCTACCACAAGGAAAACTCCCAGAAGGATGTTGGTGCTACCCTCATGCAAATTCAGGAAAACCACGCTGTTGTCTCTGGATACAGCTCGTCTCCACATCTCCTTATGGGCACCAGTCCTGTCCCAATACAAGTAAATGCTGGTGCAACAATATGACACTTGAAAAAGCCCCTCAGGGAGTAAAGTGCAGGTTTACATCCTTTTGGCTCTTCCTCATTAAGCCTCTTCTCAAATCGTGTAGCTGTCAAAATTACTTTGCTACACTCTACTTTACTTGTATAACCAGAAGCTTTCCACTTTCTTTTTTTGCGCTTGTTCCTTATGTGGAAAGACCTTTTATAAAGCTTAATTTAATTTCAAGTACGTGGCAACTATATGTCTTTTCAGCACCTTGACATACAACTTGTGAAGCCTTTTGAGCACTCTGTAAATAACAGCAGAGTTTGAGTGTATAAATTACACTGTTTTCTGGGACAGGCACTTGTAACATGGGGCAATTGTGACACCTTATGGCTGTTCCTGTAATGACCTCGAACAGTTTAAGGGTAAACAGGTGGGAAAAAGAGAGAGTTAGGGAGTTTAAGTTCTGGTTTGGTCACACGGTATGAGTAACTCACCCACCACTACAGCCCTGTTTGCAGAATTCCTCAGAACAGGCAATCCCACCAAGCAGTTTATGCCTCAAGAACCTCCTCAGGTAGCCCTCTGCCACAGAGATGCTCTGCAGAGTGCCCTAAAAGAGCAGTCACTCCAAACATGCCCAGTGAGCCAGGGTTCCCCCAGCAATAGACCATGACCCCAAACATCCCTAGGCTAGCCAGAGACAGCATCAGAGTACTCCCACAGCAATATAAACGTGTTGGCACCTCCTGGACTCATCACGATGGACTTGAGTAAATCCTGTCCAGCCTCTCCTCAGGATGTCTTGCCTATAAACAATAAAAAAATATACAGAAATCGACATGCAGAATACCACGACAATACTCACTTTCTACAACATTTCCAGGGAGGGATTTAAGGCCTCTACCAGTACCCCAAGAATACCCTGCTTCCTCTCAAGATATGGACTTATCCATAATGTTCTTCAGGTGGCTCTCATCATTAGCCAGAATGTCTGCAGCTGATGTAACCAATTAAGTTAGGTTTTGTCCTATAAAGCCCTCCACTGGAGAATGGGGTAGCTTGAGGAAAAGTGTAATGGCTTGAACA